TAGAAAGATTTCAAAATATTTTCATTTATTAAAATTGTTAAATTTGCTAAATTAACAAACGTAAAATTGTTAATTGCTAATGAAAAATTGTTTTTCCTATTTCTAAACAAAAATGGTAAAGAGTAAAATGGCTTCACATAATCAATCTGGGGGGAAAATGCAATAAATCATTTAGTAAAATAACGATCCACAGTATCTTATAGTATTAACTGCTGCTATCCTGAAATACAGGATGTCTCATCACTCATCTTGGGGTTAACAGAGTGATACTAAGTCCTAACCTAAAGGGATTATTTAAAGTTTTTGTGTTTATTTAACCTGCCCTAAGCACAGGATGCTTTTTGCTATGCAGTTGACTCTTCTAGAAAATATTGATGATTTCACACACTGATTCTGCATTAGAGTGCTGTAAAAGAAAATTCAGTGCATAACATCAGCTGATATTGCTGTTTAAAATATTTATAAACACACACTGACTTTAGCTTGGAATTAGCAAGACATAAAATTAAATATAAAGCTAAAATTTAATATTTATATAATTCGGTTGAGTTTCAAAATGGTGGTTCAAAAGGGATACTTTATAAGTCCTGACTGCCTTTGTTTTCAATCAAAAATTTAAACGAGACTAGAAAATAAAGCAATCCATTTTGGGAATCAAAACCTAATGCAAAACACGAACGAACGTCAAATACGATGCCCTCAAAAATTAATCAGAGTGTAAAAAACAAACTAGACCGGTTGTATTTAATGGTTTAGAGCAATTATCACCCACGTAACAGTACGTAAAAGACTTGCCTGTTAATTCTTTGAGTTTGCAACACAGCTCTCACTAACCTCAGAGCGATCGTCTGCAACACCATCTATTAGATGAGCACTAATTTCCCATCTCCTGCTATCTGACTCAGCAGTACCTACAGGAACTAAGCGGCAACCTAAGTCGAACGAAAACCCGTGCAGAGCTCACCTGGCACGCACACGACAGCACAGAGACCCTAACACATTCCCAGGGAGGCATTTTTTTTCTCAGAGGGGGAAGCCACCCCCTCGCAGGCCCATCGCTGCAGCCCCCGCGCGAAACGCGGAGGCTCAGCCCTGCAGCAGCGCGGAGGTAACGGGACAGCGACACGGGCATCCCCCGCACACCACCCGGGGCGGTGGTGAGGCGGGGCGGCCGCCTCTCCCTACGCGCGGCGATGGCGACGCCGCCTTTCCGAACAGGCACTCGGACCCGGAGCCGGGGCCCTCCCGCCGGGTACGGCGGACTCGTGTTGCCAGCCGCCAG